CGGCCGGGGCTGGAGCCGAGGACGGGCTGGGGGCGGGGTGGGGGCGCAGGGATCCCGCCCGCCCAGGACCCGAGAGGGTAATTTTAGCCGCTCTCCCATTGTCCCGACGTAAAGATTTCAATAGGTAGGCGCTCAATGCGGAGGGCCATGGCAGCACGTCCGTTACAAATAGGTAGTTTTGTTTCTCTTGTCGCTACACGGAGTCAAACAAAGCCTCGTCTAAGTTTCCTTCCACTCTCTTGTTGGGATCTTTGTGGCTAAAATGCACTTGACTACAAAGGGGGGGGATAAAGGAAAAAAAAAAGAAAACCCTTATGCCATTTCTTTTTTATAAAGGGCTTAAACCATCAGGGTTACTTATTTTCTTTCTTCTGTAACACTCTCCGCCCCCTCCCCCCCGATCTACCCTTACTCACCCCAAGAAGATGCACTGAATAGTATCTACCAGCCACGTTCCATTTATTATCTTTACAAAACTGGGCATTGTTTTGTTCCTTACCAACCTTCTTCCCATAACCGCCCTCCCCCTTCTCCAATCTCTGCCCTCCCGAGCCTGTCTGTTACTGTCAAACTCGAGCCAGGTATGGCCAGTGGAAACCCAGAAAAGTTGTGAAAAAAGAATCCTGCAGACTTTTCTTCGCAAGTTATTATTTCCCATCAACCCTGCCGCCCCCTGAAGGTTCTCCTCCTCTTTTCTCTTAAGTTCTGGTTTGCTTCAGTCCCTGGGAACCCGGAAAGGATGAGACTGGCCTTCTTAAAACACATATACTCGGCACTCTTCAAAATAAAGCAGTCCTTTCCGCTTAATCGAGGGGTAATATGAAGGTAAACATGGACTGGACCTGGCGATTAGGAAAGAGAAAAGGTTGAGAAGATCTGGGGAAGAGAAGGCGGCCACCGGCTTTTCAGCGCGGCTGGTTTCAGGGATGTGGCTGGTGCGCCCCCTGCTGGTAGATTCGCTTTCCCAAGACTATTGCTTTTACCTTGGAAAGAAGGTGTTTGGCAATAATCAAAGTAAAAAAAATAAATTGTGGATGGAAAAGCAAACTAATTACATATAATCTAAACAAAAGAAAAGTTAACATAGTTAAGCTGTGGAACCAAATCATAGGGATCAGATTTAATTTGCTAAATTTAGATGTATACATACAACCTCCAGATAAGTGGGAGGTTAAACCACGGGGGAAAAATAGGTACAAATTATGAGATTCAACATATGAATGAATTATGATTGTCCAGACGCCACGAAGGGCAGACCAAGCATTCACTTTATGATTGTGTATGCACTGATCTGCTTAATAGCATTATTCTGAAAACTTAAAAATCTTCTAGATAATTAAGTTTGAGGAAACAACCAGGGCGTGGGTGTGGTTAATGATGGTGTCTATTTATTAAAATAAATATTAATAACGAATGACTATAGACACAGATCTTTTTAATCTCGCTGTCTTTCTCTCAAGGCACACATTTTTCCTTAGCATGATGTATATATCTATCTATCTATATATATCTATATCAGCTTTTTTACGTTCTCAGAGGCCTGTGTTTGTGCATTTAAGAGGTTAAAGGTGCTGCCTGCGTCCTTTATTAATTGCTTTTATCACATAAATAAGCTATGGAAGTACATTACAATTGTGATATCATTGGTTGCATTTATTTACAGTTTTATTTTAATTAAGCCTGCCGTACTTGTCGAGGCAATAAACTAACTGTGGCTGGTGTTTATGCATAATAATGTGCTATGAAAATAAGATTAAAGAAGATGGTGATAGCAGAAACAATGTTCTCATTAGATTTATTTATTTATAGAACCTATGTATTTAAAAAAATCAGATCACTGCTCACTCAATTTTAATCCAGTACCTGGCCCCTAAATATAATAATAACTATAACAATCCTAATAAGTGACAGAAGCAACACTGTTTTAGGCTTATAATAGACAGCTACGGTCCTGACAACAATATGCCATTGACTCTCAGACAAAAGAGACTTGGAACAGGATGCTTCATCCTCCGAGAATTTAAAATAGTGCCATTGGCACAATTTACGAAAATTGAAAGTGTTTAATCGAAAAGAGAGTGTAAAACTTGTCTTCCGTGGGCAGCAAAAAAAAGACACACTTTTAGAGCAAGATTAGTAATTAGAAACAAAAATGCCTTACTCCTGGGACATTCTGATTTGATTTCATTCTCCTGTCGGCCCTAGCCAAAAAGCCTTAACTGCTAAGTGTAACTCAATTTTATTTAAAAACCTTTTGCATTGATTTTTCTTTCCCCATCCCTCCTCAAGTGTTATATCTGAAGCCAACTAACAATTTTGTGGAGATAGGGGACTGAAGACTTATTTTTTCTTCTTAGTGGCAAATAGAGGTTTAACTTGCAGTAATTAGGTGAGAACTAGCCAAGCATCTTACTATTATGATGCTTGTTAAAAAACGCTTCTTTTCTGCATCTGCATTTGAGTGTGTTCCCCTCCTCTCTTAATCTTCTTATGGAAATGAAGGCAAACGGCAGGGAACCTGCAGAGTCTTGGAGAATGTCCTTGTTAACTGGAATTTCTCAGCATTGCTAATTAGCAGAGTTTGACGACCACCAGTATTGGGGAAAGCTCTGTTTAACCACTCACAAACCATTCCGAGGAAGAGCAGACTAATTTTATTTTGTAATTAAAATCTGAAAAGGGCCCTATTTGACAGTTAGGGCTATGAGAGTTTTATCTCCCCGTGAAATAATTACTGCCTTGATAACTCAATTTTCTGAAAAATGTCAACTGTGGGCTCCAAAAGTTTTAATTTCATTACGTAAGGAAAAAAAAAAGCGAGGAAAAAGAAGAAAATGTACAGAAAGGTTTTCTAATTCTGGAACTGGTTAAATAGACGAGGAGCCAGATTTGGCCAAATGAAGGGTTTTTTTCCTCCTGTTTTGGTCATGTTTCTTCCAGATCCTAAGCTTCCAACGATCTCCTCTCAGAGTGACCACAGCATTGATCACACCGCAGTGAAAGAGGTCACCCCAGCAGTCTGGTAAGCAAGAGACAAATACAACTAAAAAGAGAGCTACAACAACCAGAGAAAACCTCCTGATTTTAAAAGCCAAAAAGAAAGGAAAATTGAAATGTTCAGGGCAATGTTGGTACGATCTGGAGAGATGAGATTTTATTTAGATTTATTCCCTAATACAAGACAACTGAGAATGACACAGTAAGAAACCTGGCATAGGCCAGTTTCCTAAAATGTTTCCTTCTCCTGTGTAAGTCACAAAAGGTCTCAGTCACTCCAAATTGGAGCATACCACAAGACTTCCAAGATGATCAAGGTTGGATTCTTCAAGATTTAAGAGACAAACACTGATAAATGAAGGTAAAGAAATGCACGAGAGGTTTTCTTTTCCTTAAAAAAGCATCGCATACATTCCAAAAATAATCAGCAAGGAATAAGCTGGAAAAAGTTGGAATATGGAAATGAGCAAAAATTAGAGACTGAATTGTACCGTTGTCAAACTTAATTTCCTTCAGCCTGTGACGGGTCCCCCATAGGAATTCCCGGAGGGGACAGACACCTTACTTTTCATAACAATTTTCAAAATGATATAAATTCTTTCCTCTACATCTCCCCCTGCCTTTTTTTTCCTATGTCAAACTTGTCAGGTTCGGGAAGTATGTAAGAGTAGTGACAGGAATTATAATGGAATGTTTCTAGATGGTACAAAGAACAAACATATATCTCTAGCCCTCTCTATTTACTAAGATATAGATATGCATATGGATGCGCATAGTGGATTGGCAATTTCAAATGGCTTAATCATATTTTTTTCTTCTTGCCTGGTCTTTCAGCACCTTGCCTTTAATTTCCAGAAGGGGTATTACAGTTCAAAAATGAACGAAGGAATGACAATGCTGTTTCAGTCCAGACCCAATTTCACCAAATAATTTCACTGAAGAGCTGTAAGGACCCTCGAAACCTAAGGAATGCAGAACTGCTTTGCATTCAACTCTCTTTGTTACTCATTCTCTTTCATCTAATTCTCACTGATGAAATAAATTCATTTTTAAAAGAATTCAGTAGTTAGGAAACTAAATATATTTCCCCTGACTTCAAATTATAGCAACAAAAGTAATATGTAATTATTTGTGTATGTCTCTCAAGCTGTATATACTAATCAACATATTACTTACAGTATCATATATATACACACACACATACACACACACCTCCTTCATATATTCAAGTATTTTCTGGAAAAAGAAATTCACATTTCCCAACTTCATTTCCATTTATGAATTATCAGTTAAGACTCTGTCCCTGCACTGCAACTGTTGTCCAGGGAAAGATGCAGTGTGTCCATTACATGATTTAATTATTTTAAATAGAAATTTCCTTTTTAAAAAACAAACTAAAAACTTTATGAGTTGCCACCAGTGGTTTTCGGTTGGATTAGACGTATAATTTGATTTTTAAAAATCAGGAGAAGGGAATTTGAAGAAAGGCGAATGAATCACCAGGAACTACAGGGAGCCCCCCACACAACCCCGGCCCCCTTTACACCTGTAAATCATTGCTTGAGGGTTGAAATACGTATCTCTCTGACCCCACTATCGTGTGCAATTAATCATACCAAATAAAAAGGGCCTCCTTAGGATCCTAGTTTTCAAGTGGCTAAGATTATGACCCTCATTTTAGAGAAAAGACAATTGTTTTAAATTCTCCAACTGTGACCATCTCATCTAGTTGTGACCACAACTTTTGTGGGGGGGCAACCCTATGCCTTCCATAAGCTTTCTGTAGCTGGCCTTACAGGACACTCCAGGGCAGGCTGGGCTGCCCTTTCACTGCAACGACCATCCACCAAGCAGGGAAAACCTCTTTCCCTTGGCCTGGCCCCTTCCATGTCACAGAAATGGAATGGAGTCTTCTTTCTTCTGGAGATCTCATGGAACATGCAGCTCCTAGGTGACACACAAGTTCCCCGTCCAGAAGTCCAGTTGTACTGAATACAAACTGCAGAAGTGACGAAATCTCAGAGGGCTGATGTGTTTGGCACCCCAGAAGGCAAGTTGGGGAGAGAAATTAGATCTGCTTCACAGGTGAGGGACAGCCAGGAATACCATCAGGGGGAAAGGAAGAAAGCTTTCACCTGTGGCATGAAAAGAAGTTGAAGCAAGCCAGTGGGGGAGGGGCGAATCGTCCCACAATCACCATCCGCCCAAGTGAAACTATTGCCACTTTCTTTTCAAAGATTTGCAGCTGCGGCTTGCCCTGGAAAGTGCTCGAAATCAAAGTGCACACCCATCCTGGGCGGGCTGGCGTCCTCGAGGCCTCCCCTTGACATCTGGAACCCTCTCCCCGAAGCTCTTCTGGCCTCAAAAGAAACGCCCGAGAAGGCGGCCTTCCCAGGGGCCCACTTCTGCTCGCCCCCTAGCGCCCCCCTTCCAGTCCCGGCTCAGATGGAGTTGGGCTTCCAGACCCATCCCCATGGAATTCTCAGACCGCCGGCCTGATAATCTTTAAAGGCCCCTTCGGAGCGGGGGCGCTGACTTTTATCTTCCCTCCCACCCTTCCTCCCTTTTTGTTGGCTCTCCCCACTCCTTTCCCTCTCGCCCCACCCCCCCTCCTTAATTTGAAGATCATTGACACGATAGGCTGTAATGAGTCCTTCAGAAACTGTTATGATCTGCAGTGACAATCTCTGCACCTAATTCACAGATTATTGACAAGCACCGTGGGCTCAATGGTGTCAAGTTGTACTTGTGGTTTCAACACCCTCCAGCACAACCCACGGAGCTGCTGGGCCCCGGATTAGGGACCCACAGTCTGGCAGCGCTCGTCCGCCCTGCTGCGTGGCGGAGGGCTGAGGGTGCGTCTACACCTCCGCCGCTCCAAGCCCACCGGGCTTGCTCCACCGCGCCTTTGTCTGTCCCAGGGTTGCATCACCGAAACTGAAGGCTCTCCGAGTCTAAAAGCGAAGTCAGAGAGCAAACTCAACGCGCAACGACTCCTCCGTCCTCGAGTCTTCGTCTTCATGATGGTCGTGGTCCACCCGCCTCCCCCCACCCACATAGCTCCAGGCTCCAAGCCACACGTGCAGGCTTCCCGAGTCCTTCCCGGCCACCCCCCCCCCCCG